TTGACTTTTTTTTTTTTTTTTTTTTTGGCATTTCCCACACACACACTGGGGATCGAACTCAGGACCTTGCGCTTGCAAGGAGGTGTGGTGCTACTGAGGTAAATCCCCGGCCCCCTCCTTTTCATTCTGGATGATAGCCATTCTGACTGCTGTGAGATGGAATCTCAATGTAGTTTTGATTTAAATTTCCTACTAGCTAAAGATGTTGGACGTTTATTGGCCATTTGAACTTCTTTTGAGAAGTGTCTGCTTAATTCATTTGGCCACTTATTGATTGGGCTCTTTGGTTTTCTTGGTATTATGTTTTTTGTTCTTTATATATTGTAGATATTAATTCTCTCTTGTACAAATAGCTAGTAAAGATTTTCTCCCATTCTGTAGGTTCTCTGTCCACTCAGTTGATTCTTTTTTGTGCAGAAGTTTAATTTGATGTAGTCAAGTTGATTTTTTAATATTATATCCTGTGCTACTCAAGTCCTATTCAGAAAGTCTTTGCTTGTGCCTATGGATTCAAGTGTTTCTCTTATATTTTCTTCCAGAACTTTCAAAGTTTTGGGCTGCATATCTAGGTCTTTGATCTGTTTTGATCTGATTTAGTAGGAGGTGTGAGAGAATCTAGTTGCACTTTTCTGCATGTGGATATCCACTTTCCCCAACATCACGTGTTAAAGAGGCTGTCTTTCCTCAAGCATATGTTTTTGGGCCTTTGTCAAAAATCAAATGGCTGTAGTTGCATGGGGTTGTTCTGTGCCTTCCCTTCTATTCCACTGGTCTACGTGTCTATTTCTCTGACAGTACCATGCTGTTCTTTACTTTTTGAGGAACTGTCAGACTATTTACCAGAGTGGCTGGTCCACTTTACATTTCTGCCGGCAGTAAGGGAGGGTGCCCAAGTTGTCCATATCCTCACCAACACTTTTTAAGTTATATCCATCCTGATAAATTTACTGTGGCATCTCATTGTGGGTTTATCTAAGGCCTAATGATGTTAGTCAATTCAATTTGAGTCTATGTTTTTAACATGAACAATTATAGTGATTAGTTGCAGCATTTCATGTCAATATTTTAATTTTTTACTAAAGCACTAAGTAGCATATAGGCTAATAACATTATATTTAGTAAATACACTCTATTTGCAGCTGCCCTTAAAAATTTGGGGGATCAAGAGATGGAGGAAGAAGGGAGAAGGACAAGGGAGGGTAAGGGGATGAAAGAAGAATTAAGATGTGTTATGCGCATGTGCCAACTTCCAACAGTGAATGTAATCATTATGCACTGCAAGTATGCACTAGTAAAAGATGGAAACTGGAAAGAAGTTCTGATTCGGCTACATAAAAGTAAAATCGAAATGAAAACCTTAGAGATAATTTCATAGAACAAATTTCCCATATAAGAAAGCATACTTTCTGTTAGTATTGAGCAGAGAGATAAACTTGGCATTGCTTATTGGTATTTTTGTTCAGTTTGGTTTCCACTGGGGAAATATCTAAACTCACTCAGTTTTGCAGCATGAATAAAATAGCATCCACACCTGGAACCCAGAACTCATACAGCAGCTCCACAGGGTTTGATCATCCTTTGTTTTGAAACAAGCAAGCAAAAAACATAATGTGTTCCTAACAAAAGAATCCATAGTCACAATAAAATTAAAAGAATGAACAAAGTGAATTTATTTTTAGTTGGTGTACAGAACTGTTAGGCAAAATTAGAAATCACAGTTTAAGCAGTGGCTTAAGTCAAGCCCTTTTTCCATTGGTTTGGACTTTTGTTTTTGCTTTTTCTTTAAATGAAAGACTTTAATCTCTGCATCTGGGAAAAATGTAGGATCTAATATTACATAATATATCTTCAATTATAGCCTAAATGTTACATTTCAGACCAATAAAATGTAAGCAGGCCAGCAAATAAAATATAAAAAGGACAAGTCCATAGTCATTTCTAACATTTTTCCTGCCAGCTGGCTCTGGGATCATGGGATGAAAAGAAAGAAAGAAAAGAAAAATGAAACCCCTGTTCTTATCCACCGGGTTTAGGAAGGCTATCCTGTGGAATTATAAAAGTAACGTGACCCTAAGTGGGAAACAAGAGGACAGCATCTACAAACCACATTTGTCAATTCCTTATCTGAGGGTTGGGCCAGCCAGCTTGGGGGGAAGTATGGAGAAACAAGGCAGCACAACCACACATGAAAAATGAAAGGTGAAGTCTATTTTTTTAACTACAAAAAAAAAAAAAGCTTTAGCCTGGGGGTTTAGTTGAGTGATTCTGCTGCCTGCCTTGTAAGCGCAAAGTCCCAAATTTGATCCCCAGTATTTAAAAATAAAAGCTTTAAACCTGGAAAGGCAGTGGGCTATTAATGAGTGATGATCTGTCTTTATATAAAGATCATTCCCCTTCTCTTATTCAGAATTATAAAAATAAACTATGGATTTTGAGATTTTTTGGTTTGAAATAAGAATTTATTAATAAATAGATTCATTAGCCATGTAAAGTATTTTCAAAATAAAGTTGTGAGTTAGAGTTGTTTGTTTTGATTCAGATAGCATTTATCTGGAAACATATAGCAACATAATAACTTTTTCTTTTGGGACCAGAGAGCAAACTGGGGACCTTGAGCTTGCGAGGCAGGCGGCAGCACCACTCAGCTAAATCCCTGGCCCACAAAATAACTAAGAAGTTTTCTGGCTCTGAAATTCTGTAACTTTTTTGTACAACAATAGAGAGAACCTGAAATTTGTACTTATTGACATTTTCTATCCAAAGTGGTTTTATACCTAAATGTAAAGAAATATAAGAACAAAACTGTTTTCTTAGTTTGCACAAATATTTTATGCTATTAGTTTGAACAACTGATTATTAAACTATACCTTCCATACTAAACTATAATTACAAGATAATTTCTATATTTTTAGGGATTGATAGCACTTTCCAGACATAAGAAACTGAAGGAACTTTCTTTATCTGACTGTTGTAAAATCACCAATGTTGGAATTGAGGTAAGATAATTAAGGTCTTCTGTTAATGAATTAAGATTGAATATTAAGCACAAATTGAACAGTTTTGTAGGTCACAGTAAAAAAAAAAAAAGAAAAGAAAAGAAATGAAAGTGTGAGTTTGTGAGTAAGCCAGGATCTCAGATCTCCGTGGCCTAACATGACAAAGAGGATTTGTTTTCCTGTTTTTCCCCATCTACCCACTTTCTTCGTATCAGACTAATGCTGAGTAGGAACATTTTACTTGGGAAGCGATGAACTGCTATGTGGTGACAGTTGGTCTTTTCATACAAAGAAAATGTTCTTAGAATAAAAATGTCATGCAATCTAACCGTGAAAATTGAGAAAGTTTGAAAAATTAAACCAGACACCTAACAATTTGGAGCTTAAGTTATGCAAACATACTTGATAACACACTTTATTGGAACAGACAGTATGAAATAAATAACTGGGTAGGAGAAATGATTATATGTTCAAGTGAGACTTCAGACATTCTCTGTTTTTTTTTTTTTTTTTTT